CCCCCATATATATAAGGCTCAGACCCCTTCTAGATCCTGAAAAGCATATTCCAGGAGCCCCTCTAAGGAGCCTCTTTAGCACCTCTTATCGAAGCCGTGTCAAACTGTGAGGACCTCGCCGTTGGTCGTGCTCATCTATTGTCGTGGTCGTCCAAATTTGGACCCATACATGAACAGATATAAAGTGTAAGTTACGAATTTATTCAAATTTTTTATTTTATTTTTTGAACCTGCCCCTCAATGAAAATTTTGCTTCCGCCACCATTCTCGCCACTATTGCAATCCCACCCCCTTGAAAAACTTTAGTTACATCTCTTCTCGTAATCACTTTAAAAGTGGACACAGATTTAAGAGAAAAAAAGTAGAAGACGACAGAGAATCTTTGGTGGGACTAACGACATGAAATGACTATTGTATAACTGTTTTGCTGCTTTCTTTCAACTTAGAATCTCATCCTTTTAGCTACTCTACTTTGGATTTTTCTTGAAATTCCCAAATTTTAACAAACATGGGATGATACTTATAAAATATATGTCGTCTTTCATGCACCTACCTACCTTTTTCCTTTTCTTTAGCTAGTTTAACTCCAAATATCTTTTTCTCTGGCCCTCTGACATCCCACATTTGTCCCTCCCATCATTTTTTAATTGAGGTACGAATTCATGATTTCAACTTTATGATCTATTCAAAAGTTAAGTTAGCGTTTCGTTATAAATTCTTAAATTTATTTTGAAAAATTTAATTTAGGTGAAATTTGGTTTAAAGATGAAAATATGTTAGGACATCAGTTTTCAAAAAACATTTTTTTTTTTAAAAAAAAAATATATATATAAAATATGACGTATACCCACAAGTTCTAAATATTATCTCAAATACCCAACAATACCGTCATAAATAACATTTATTATCATTATCATAGACCATAGTCCTGAACATAAATAAATTTGGTACAAAATTATTATTTTTATAATGAACTACATAATACACTATCAGATAACCGAGAAGACGAAGCAGCATTGTTAAAATAATAAATGGTGGGCTCTTTTATAAAATACAAAAGTTTGGGGCAATTTTTAAAATTTTTAAAAAATGTAATAGTAATATTTTGGGCCAAAACCAGCTCTTGAGTTGGTTTTGGGATTTGGGATTTGGGAATTTGGCAAAATATGGATAGAATTTATGAACAAACGTATTTGCAAAAAAAGATTTGGAAAAAAATTGGCAAAATCTATGGCCAAACGGGTCCTAACTCTATTACAACTTACTTAATTTATTGGATTCGAATAAATATTTACTTTTATTTAGTGAATATTTTAACACATATAAAAGGTATGAATCGAGGGTGTGCTGCTGGTTGTTGCTACTGCTTCTCTTTCATAGCTTTTTCACACGGTATTTCCTTTACATAACTACTATCACTATACTTTTCTTGAGCCAAAGGTCTATCAGAAAGAATTTCTCTATCTTCAAAAAGTAGGATAAGGTCTGCATACATACTATCCTTTCCTGACCCTTTATGGGATTTCACTGGGTATGTTATTATTTGTACAAAAGATCTGAGCCAAAATTATTGGGTTCAAACTTATACACTAAATCTTCCCCTGCATATAGCCC